TTTATTTCTACGTACAGTGTTTTGTAGTTCTCGTTGTAAAGGTCTTTCACTTCTCTGGTTCAGTGAATGACAAGGCATTGCATTTTTTTATGGCTATTGTGAATGGGATTGTGCTTTTTATTTGGTTCTCTGCCTGCACTTTTGCTGATGTATAGAAATGCAACTGTCTTTTGCATGTTGATTTTATGCTTCGAAACTTTACCCAAGTTGTTTATCAGTGTGAGGAGGCTTTTGATGGACTCCCTTGGGTTTTCAGGGTATAGAATCATATCGTCTACAAAGAAGGATAGCTTAACTTCCTCCTTTTCTATTTTATTCCCCTGATTTCCTTCTCTTGTCTGATTGTTCTAGCAAGGACTTCCAGCACTATGTTGAACAAGAGGGCTGAGAGTGGATATTCTTGTCTTGTTTCTGTTCTCATGAGGGATGCTTCCAACTTCTGCCCATTGAGCAAATGTTGGCTATGGGTTTATCATAGATAGTTCTTACTGTTTTGAGCAATGTTCCTTCCATGCCTAGGTGTTCAAGGGTTTTTATCAAGAAGGAATGCTGGATTAGTCAAATGCTTTCTCTGCATCTAATGATATAATTATGTGTTTCTTGTTTTTATATCTGTTAATGCATTGATTTACATTTATGGTCTTGTGAATGTTGAACCAGCTCTGCATCCCAGGAATAAAGCCCACCTGGTCATGGTGGATGATCCTTGAGATACGTTATTGAATCTGATTTGCTAGAAATTTATAAAGAATTTTTTCATCTGTGTTCATCAAGGAGATTGGCCTATAATTCTCTTTCCTCAGCAAGAATAACAAAGCGGGAGGTATCATACTTCATTTTTTACTAGGCTACCATAATTAAAACAGCCTGGTATTGGTACAAGAATAGAAACATAGAACAATGGAACAAGACACAGATTCCAGAGGCAAAGCATTATCTCTCAACCAACTCCTCTTTGACAAAGCCACCAGTAATAATCACCAGGGAAAGGAGATCATATTTAGCATATGGTGCTGGGAATACTGGCTGACCACATGCAGAAGAATGAAAGTGGACCCCTATGTATCACCATATACAAATATCAACTCTAAATGGATCAAGGGCCTAAACATAAAACCTCCAACAATAAAAAAAATCCTAGAAGAAAACATAGGAAACACCCTTATGCACATCAGATTAGGCAAAGAATTCTTGACCAAGTCCCCAAAAAGCAAATACCATAAAAGCTAGGATAGACAAGTGGGACTATATCAAATTGAAAAGCTTGTGCACAGCAAAATAAGTCATCAAAAAAGAAAATAGACAACCCACAGAATGGGAAAAAAATATTTGCTAATTGTATATCTGACAAATGCCTAACATCCACGATCTACAGGGAACTCAAATAAGCTGAAAGGAGAAAAAAAAAAAACAGACAAGCCTATCAAAAAATGGGCAAAGCACATGAATAGACACTGAAAAAAAAATACAGGCAGCCAATAGACACATGAAAAAATTATCAGTCTCACTAATCATCAGAGAAATGCAAATCACAACTACAATGAGATATCATCTAACTCCAGTAAGGGTGGCCATCATTAATAAATCAATAAACAACAGTTGCTGGTGCAGGTTTGGAGAAAAGAGAATGTTTTTACATTGTTGGTGGTCATGTAAGCTAGTTCAACTTCTATGGAAAGCAGTGTAGCAATTCCTAAAAAAGACTGAAGATTGGCCTTCAATTCAGTCCAACAATCTCTCTCCTGGTAATATAACCAAAGGAACATAAGTCATTCTCCAAAGAGACATCTGCACACACACGTCTATTGCTGCACTATTGACAACAGCAAAAACATGGAACCTACCCTACTGTCCATTGAAAATGGACTGAACAAAGAAAATGTGGTACATATACACAAGGGAGTATTATGAAGCCATAAAGAAGAACAAGATCATGGACTTTGCGGCAAATTGGATGGAGTTGGAGACCGTCATACTAAGTGATCTGCACAGAAACAAAGAACTGAATACCACATATTCTCACTCATAAGTGGGCCCTGAACATTAATCACAATAGCACAAGGGAGGGATCAGCAGGCATTTGGCACTGCCAAGGGAGGGAGGGGGGAAGGGTTCATGTAACAACACAAAGGGTACCTAGTCCCAAACCAGGGGAAGTAAGGGCCAGTTGGAGACCCAAAATTCACCTGCACACAGCCTACTTGTGTAGTTAATCCTTACTTGTACCCCACATCTCTATAATAAAATAATTTTTTTAAATAATAAATTTAAGCAAAAAGTTAAATGAAAAGTATAAAATATTACCTTAAAAAATAAAGAAGATCAAAATAAATGAAAACATCCTGTGTTCATGGATTGGAAGACATAGCGTATTCTTAAAATGTCAATACTCCCTAAAACAATCTATAGATTCAATGCAATCTCCATAAAAATTGCAATGTCTTTTTTTCTAAGAAATAGAAAAACCAATCCTCAAATTCATATGAGATTGTGAGGCTCTCTAATGAGACAAAACAATATTTTATAAAAGAGCAAAATCAGACTGTAAACCAGTTCAAATAAGAAAATAGTATGGAGAATTATCAGATAACTAAGAAGTGAATTACAATTTGATTCAGTAATCTCACTATTAGGGATGTACCTTCCCAAAAAATCATCATATAAAAAAGATACCTATACTCATATGTTCATTGCAGCAAAATTCACATTAGTAAAATCATGGAACCAACTAAAGTTCCCACTAACAATTGGTTGGATAAAGAAAATGTGGTATATACACCATGGAATACTACACAGTCATAAAAAAGAATGAAATCACATTCTTTGTGGCAACATGGAAGAAGCTGGAGATCTTCATTCTAAGTGAACTGACTCAGAAACAAAAAACCAAACCCCACGTGCTCTCACTCATATGCGGGAGCTAAATGGTCACAAAGGTGGAAGTAACAGACACTGGGTACACCAGTGGGGGAGGGGGACCGGGGTTCAGAAATTACCTATTGGGTACAATGTTCACTATCTCAGAAATGGGTCACCTGAGACCCAATCCCCACTACTACACAGTATGTGCATGTAATAAACATGCATGCGTATGCCTGAATCTAAAATAAAGATGGGGGGAAAATAGCAAAATCGGAGGTCTCACACTTTATAATTTTGAAACTTACCACTAATCTACTGTAATCAAAATAGTGTGATAATGGCATAGGGATAGAAATATAACCCAATGGAACAGAATTGAGAGTCCAGAAATAAACCCATACATCTAAGGTCAATTGATTTTCAATAAGAGCTCCAATGTTATTCAATGAGGAAAGAACAATTTCATCAACAAATGGGGCTAGGACCACTGAGTAGTCACATGCAAAAGAATGAATTTGAACCTATAATTCACCTCATATACAACAATTAACTCAGAATAGACCAATGATCTAAATATAAGAGCTAAAGCCATAAAACTGGAAGAAAACGTGACCTTGGATTGAGTAACAAATATTTTTAGATATAACACCAAAAGCATGAGCAAGAAAAATAATAGATAAATTGGGTTTCATCCAGATTAAAAACGTTTGGGCATCAAAGGATATTAATAATAAAATGAAAAGATTACATACAGAGTGTGTGAAAATATTTGTAAATCATATGTTTGATGAGTCTAGTATCCAGGATGCATAAAGAACTCTTACAACTCAACAAATCAGACAACTCAATCTAAATATGGGCAAATAGTTTTTCAAAGAAAATATACAAACGTTAAATCTGCATAGGAAAAGGTGCTTAACATTATTCGTCATGAGGAAAATACAAATTAAAAAAAAAAAAAAACCACTGTGAATACCACTTCACACCCACTAGGTTGACTATAAGAAAAAAATTTATATAAATAGAGAATAGCAAGTGCAGGTGAGAATTTGAAGGAATTACAAGCTTCACACATTACTGGTGGAATATAAAAGACTACACAGCCCCTGTGAAAAAGAGTTTGGTAGTTCCTCAAAAAGTTAAACATAGAATTATGATATGATCTCTCAATTCTACTGCTATGTATACATTCAAACTATTGTAAGCAAGTACTCAAGTAAGTACGTGTACATACATGTTTATACCAGCATGATTTACAGTACTTAAAAAGCAGAAACAGCTGAAATGTTCACCTATGGATGAATAGATAAGCAAATTGTGGCATATATACATTATGTATATACATATTATACAACAGAATATTATACAGCCGTAAAAGGAATGACAGAATAATGCATGCTACAATGTGGATAAATCTTGAAAATATGGTAAGTGAAAGTATCTAGACACAAGAGGTCACATACAGTATAGCTACATTCATATTAAATAGCCGAAATAGGTAAAGCCTTAGAGACAGAAGACAAATTAGTGGTTGTGAAGGTCTTGGGGAAGGGCAGAATTGGAAGAAACTGTATATTGGATCAGTGACTTTAATTTGGGATGATAGAAATGTTTCAAACGAGATATATAGTTGGTAGTTGGCGGTGATACACACACACACACACACACATACACACATACACATACACACTGGCGGTTGCCAACACTGTGAATATGCTACATGCCACTGATTGTTCACTTTAAAATGGTTCATTTTATTTTACGTAAATTTCACATCAACAAATCACTTTTAAATACATTAAGCTGCTTAAAAAGATAACCTACAATCCGATATACACTTTTTAATAAACTCTGTAGAAAAGATTAGTCAGTATCTTCTCATTTTTCCTCCCATCTCCACAAAAGAGTGTGTAAATGTACTCTTTTGTGGAGATGAGAGGAAAAATGAGAAGATACTGACTCTAAAACAGTCACTTTGGACAAGAAAATGTCAGACTCCCCTTCTGGTCAAAGTCATTATGGTAATTATTTCCAAAAACGAAAAGTTTCCATTTCCCCCCACATATCAAATTTATTCTAACACATTTCCTCTGACTTAATGGCAACCTGTTTAAACACGTGTTTCTTGTATTTCACAGACACACTTGGCAAGTGCAAGACAAAATTGACGCAAACAATGTGGCCTACACAACTGGGAAGCTGAGTTTTCACACGGATTACCCAGCCCTCCATCATCCACCTGGGGTAAGGTGAACCTCGGCACATTTCCCACAAGGCAGGCCCATCACTAATATCCTTCTATATTTTGAGTCTCGAAGATTATGCATTTCACCAGCTAATTTGCCTTATGAAATCTTTCTCTAAACATAACCCAAGCTCACAAAATCTCTGTACCCAAACCATAACTTGTCTCACATTTCTCAAGGATAGGACAGTTTCATGCACTTTTTTAGAAACATACTTTTGTTTTAGCCTACAGATAACTATGGATGCTTTTCACTTTGCCAAGGCAGATCTTAAGACAGTGCATCTTAAGGTCTTTCTGTGCATAGATCCCTCCCAAGAGAGAGTTAAAAGGGAAAATGAAATCTGTAAACACACTGTAGGGTTCCCCACAAAGTCACAAGGCCACCATTCATGTCAATTAGACATTGTTGCATTAAAAACCCACTCCATAAATTAATAGCTTGAAAAAACAGCTGTTGACCTGGCCGTGTTTTCACAATTTGGGCTGCATTCAGCTGGGCAGTACTTCTCATCTACAGTTGTATACCTGCAGTCAGAGACTAAGTTGACTAAAGACAGGTTGACTTCAGGTGAAGGGGCTTGTCTCTGTTCCATGTGGCCTTCTGTCCTCCAGCAGGATAGCCCAGGTTTCCTGCACATGGCAAGTGGCAGAGCGTTCAGAGAGCTGCATAGCCTCGCAAAGCCTAGGCTGGTCACTTCTGCAGTGCTTTATTGGTCTAAGCAAGTCATATAAGTCAAACCTAAATTGGAGAGGTAAGGAAATAGACCCCTTGGGAAAGGAGCTTTGAAAATGTATTACAAAGAGGGTGTGAAGACAAGGAACAGAATACCTTTGGCTCCTTTTGGAAACTGTCTACCATCCCACCTATCAGATTCCTTGTCAAGGAGGGAGATGCTTAATATGGAGCCACAGATCCCCAGGAGAATTTCGGGGTGGACGTTCTTCCTCTATATTTCTACAAAAGTGTTATTTTACTAAACCAGCTACATTTTTACAAAGTCATCATTTTACTAAACAACAAAATGGCCAGGAAACTACCTTTTAAAAGATATGTTGTCAGACTGGACGCAGTGGCTCAAGCCTGTAGTCCCAGAACTTTGGGAGGCTGAGGAGAGGGGATTGCCTGAGCCCATGGGTTTGAGAACAGCCTGAGCAACTTGGCAAGACCTAGTCTCTACAATAAATGAAGAAATTAGCCAGGCATGGTAGCACGTGCCTGTAGTTCATTGCCCAGACCGGAGTGCAGTGGCACACTCACTGCCACCCCAGCAGGTCGAAGCTGGAGTGGCAGTGAGTGTGCCACTGCACTCCAGCCTGGGCAACGGAGTGAGACTCCAACGCAAAAAAACAAAATAAAATAAAATAAAAGATATGTTGTCCCTATATTTGGAGCTAAGCAAACTAAATAACCACACAGAAATATGTATCTTCAAAAGTAAGTGAAAATGTGGGCCATTGCCAAGTTCATGAAGGAGACAACTGGCCAAAATCATAATTAGTCCTTTTTTGTTTTTCATCATCTTGACCGAGCGTGTTTTCTCTGTTTCTTAGTTGTTACTGAGTGGTCTCTGCAGTGTTACCTAAGCTAGTCTAATATTTGACTACACATGTTTTAAATTATTTTGTTGATTGCAAAATGATTCCTTTGAACAAAATGATGACAGTAAAATGACCCCTGCGGTCACCTGTTTTGGTTGGGGGTGGGGTCGGGAGAAGGAGAAACACAATGTGATTTTATTCTAAATGTCACTCAGAGATTTTTCTAAAACCTTGGGGTTGAGAGCCTAACTACACAACTGAGCTCATGAGCCAAAGATAGTTTGAAGAAGTTATGGAATAAAGCTAGAAGACTAAAAGTTCTGTTTGAATTGTTAAATTATCTTCTGTCTTTTATGAGTTTAAGGCTTGGTTCTGGGTTAAAATTGAAAGCCTAAGGAAAAGTGATTAAATGACTTCATAAATATTCCTGGAGTATAATATAATACTTGACATTTGTATAGCACTCCATACTTTTTCGAGTTATTTTTACTTGCATGACTTTATTTGATTCCTCTTCACATTGCTTTAAGGCAGACAGGATTGATCGTGTCTTTTCCTGTCAGGTAAGGAAATGAAGCACAGGGTTCAGTTTTTTTAATTGGGTGATGTCTGATGAAAGGAGACTTGAAGCTAGACCTCTATCTAGGTTTTTCCTCACGCCATACTGGTCCTGAGCTGGAGTTCCTAATTACTATCATTTATATGATAAAAGGGATAGTTTATAGACATTGGCATATTTTACACACTCTTTAAACACAGAGACTGAATCTTATACTTGTCTTTATCTCAAGACGATAAAGCACCTTGTGTATAGTAGAGATGTAACAGATATGCTCTAAAGAGGCAAAGAAATGCAGCAAATTTATACTTGTCTCCGTCAGCAAATGAAACATTCAAAGCTAAGGGACTCAGTAGTAGATTTTTAAATAACAGATGATTCCTGAAATGTCTAGATACTAGCAGAAGAGTAAAATGTAAGCACCTGTTTGTACTATTGTTCAAGCATCCATTTTGAATTTTTCAAGGGTTTTCATGCCAACGTTTGAGATTTCTATAACAAACAGAAGAAACCCATGTGTGTTTCAGTACAGAGGAAGTGATTTGAATAATGAGTTACCCATGAGTGTTCATCTCGATTAATGTTTATCTTGTGAATCAGAAATAAGGTCACAGACACATCTTTAATTAAACACAGATGTTGCTTCTCTCACTTGTCTTTGCACCTGAAGTCAAGAGCTTCCATAAAGAAAGAAAATAATTTTGGGGCCGGGTGCGGTGGCTCAGCCTGTAATTCCAGCACTTTGGGAGGCAGAGGCAAGTGGATTGCCTGCACCCAAGGTTTTAAGACCAGTCTGGGCAATTTAGTGAGACCTCGTCTCTATAATAAAACAAAAATTAGTCAAGCATGGTGGTGTATACATATAGTTCTGTTATTGGAAGGCTGAGGGGGAAGGATCACTGTAGCCTAGCAGGACGATGCTGGAGTGGCCATGAGTGTGCCACAGCACTGTAGCCTGGGCAACAGAATGAGATACCAACTAAAAAAAAAAAAATGTATAACTGAGCCAAGGCTGAGGGGGAAGGATCACTGTAGCCTAGCAGGACGATGCTGGAGTGGCCATGAGTGTGCCACAGCACTGCAGCCTGGGCAACAGAATGAGATGCCAACTAAAAAAAAAAAAAAAAAAAAAAAAAAAAGCATAACTGAGCCAAGTGAGTGGCTCACTCCTGTAATCCCAGCACTTTGGGAGGCCTAGGTAAGAGAATTGCTTGAGCCTAGGAGTTCGAGACCAGCCCGGGCAACTTAGTGAGACCCCATCTCTACCAAAAAATAAAAAATTAGCCAGGCGTGGTGGCACACTTCTGTAGTTCCAGCTACTCAGGAGACTGAGGCAGAAGGATCACCTGAGCCCAGGAGGTCAAGGCTGTGGTGAGCTGTAATCATGCCATTGCATTCCTGCCTGGGTGACAGAGTAAGACTCTGACCAAAAAAAAAAAAAAAATGCAACTGTACAAAAGAAAATATTGCTTTACCTTTCCTTGTATAAATGGCAACAGCTGACCTTTTTAAAGATTAACGTGAGAAATAGTCTGCAAGTTCATTATGGCAATACCTGAAAGGATTTAAAGAACACTCTTATTCTCCCAAAGACAAGCCAGAGTTATCATTTTGCCTTCTTGGTGTTTGGTAGACTTGAGATTGACTTTTCCATTTTCTCTTCTTTTTCATCACGCTACTTCACCCTTCAATACCCCGGTAAAACAATTTTCTACAATGACGGATCAACTTATGCACATATTTTTTCAAGCTTAAGAAAAGTCATCAATTTAAAGACTGAACCATTGTTAATGTAAAACAGCTTCCCCAACATCAGAAAATAAAGATGGACATTTCCTATACGTTTATAAAGCACATACATCCATATGACACATATTTGCCTTTTGAATTACTGTTGAAAGTATTGTCTGGTTCTATCACCTTTTTTTCTTTCATAAAACTGTATAAATAGCATAACTGAGCCGGGCTCAATGACTCAGCTCAGCCCATAATGCCAGCACTTTGGGAGGCTGAGGCAAGTGGATTGCCTGCGCCCACGGGTTCAAGACCACCCAGGCAACTTGGCGAGACCTTGTCTCTACAATAGAAAAAAAATTAGCCGTGCAAAGTAGCAGGTGCTGTAGTTCCAGCTACTTGGAAGGCTGAGGCAGAAGGATCGTCAGAGCCCAGCAGGCTGATGCTGGAGTGGCCATAAGTAGTATAAAGGGATATCCCCCTCTGTCCGAAAGAGACTTGCTTTCTGTGGATTTTGAGGCAAATGGGCCAAAGTTCAAATACCAGCTTTAACACATATTAGCTGAACTCTTATTAGTCAGTTAGTTGTGACTCTTCCGTGTCTCAGTCTCTTCACCTGTAAAATGGGGATGAAAGTGTCGAATTCTAATGACTACCATGAGGAATAATGACATAACACAATTATAATGTGAGATCAAGTGTACACAACATTGTAAAAATTGGGAAAACTTGTTGTATGGCTTTGGAGGGGAGGCGGTTTTCTGTTCGAGACCAGCTCTGTCCAATACAGGAGCCACTAGCCACAAGTTTGCATTTTAATTTAAACGGTGGCTCAACCTGTAATTCCACACCTTTGGGAGGCTGAGGTGAGTGGATTGCCTGAGCCCGCGAGTTCAAGACCCACCTGGGCAACTTGGCCAGACCTCATCTCTACAATAAAAATCAAAAAATTAGCCGGGCGTGGTAGCGCACGCCTGTAGTTCCAGCTACTCGGAAGGCTGAGGTGGAAGGATCACCGGAGCCCAGAAGGTCGAGGCTGCGGTGGCTGGGAGCAGCCACTGCACTCCAGTCTGGGTGACAGAGTGAGACTCCAACTCAAAAAAAAAAAATTTAAGAAAATTAGTTTTTCAGTCACATGAACTACAAGGCAAGTGCATAATAGCCACATGGAGCTTGTGATTACTTTATTGGGTAGCACAGAAGAACATTTCTATCATCCCACAAGTTCTGATGAACAGCACTCTTCTGGGCTATTTATGGAAAAAACCAAGCTCAATGAATACTTTTCCCACTACGATTGATAGACCTCTAGTCTAGATATTTGATCATGTTTGCCTCTTCCATTCTACAATAACTTAGACAAGGGTTTTTATTTTATCTCAATAAGAATGAAATTTTCACAGCTAATCGTATTATTTTCTTCAAGCAGAAAACCAGAGTCTAAATTTGGCTATTCAAATCTCCCACCAATGCTAACTTACCAAATGAGTCACATGATGGCAATGAAAAACTTCACTCAAAAGAACATTTTTTAAAATGGTACCATGTTTTTCTTTTCAAAGTGAAATATTAAACATGTTCCCCAAAATCCTAGTCAAAATAGTTACTATTTACCATCCTTTTGGTTTCTCATTTTCAACTTTTATTGGGTTTTCCCATCGTCATAGTCAACCTACTTCATTCTCTACTTAACCTTATACCTGAGATTCATGTTTTCATGTTAGACTGTCAAGTGGTTATTCGCTGGCCAGTTGTTCCCTCAAAAAAAAAAAATATTCTATGTAACACCACTGAACTAATATTCAGCAGCTCAGTTCTGACTACATTACTTTCTTTTTTTTTTCTTTTTTGAATTGGAGTCTCACTCTATCGCCCAGGCTGGAGTACAGTGGCACACTCACAGCCACCCCAGCGTTAACCTGCTGGGCTCAGGCGATCCTTCTGCCTCAGCCTTCCAAGTCACGGGAACTACAGGCACGTGCTACCATGCCCAGCCAATTTTTGATTTATTGTAGAGACAAGGTCTCACCAAGTTGCCCGGGCTGGTCTCAAACCTGTGGGCTCAGGCAATCCACTTTCCTCGGCCTCCCAAAGCACTGAGATGACAGGCTGAGCCACCGAACCCAGCCTACATTCCTTTTCGAATTCAAAAGCCTCCAATTATTCCCTTCTATGCACAAGAGAAAGCACAAAAATCGTCCATCTAACGTTTAAGACTCTCCGTGATGAGGCCTCAGATTAACCTTCCTACATGGTGCATTCTTCCCACGTACACCCCTCGGCTGCAGCCATGCTTCTCATCATATCCCAGATCTTATCCCTCCTCTTTGCCCAACTTAAACCTCACCCCCTTTGTAACTCCCTTCCTGCTCACTCCAGCATGAAGAGCACACTCTCTGCACCTCTGATGAGCTGTGTCTAAGTCTTCAACTATAACATGTTTTTAACTTGTCAGTATGGATTACAAGCAACTTTTTCCTCCTCAACCCTTTTCTCTGCTGACACAGAGAGACAGATTTAAAAGGTTTGTTGATTTGGTTCATTCATAGCTTTTTGAATCTTTAACATAGTATCAAAAAAGAATATGCATGGGCTTGTATTGTTAAGAGATTTACTTTGTTATTTATTTAATTTTATGTTATTTTAATATTTTTAATTACTATGTTTAAAATTAAATTTAATATGTATTCTTATTTAATAATGCAGATTATTTTCTCCTTTAGGTTCAGTTTCTGCACTGCATAAAGCAAACAGTCACAGGAGGTGATTCTGAAATTGTAGATGGATTTCATGTATGCCAGAAACTCAAAGAGAAAAATCCTCGGGCATTCCAGATTTTGTCCTCTACCTTTGTGGACTTTACAGACATTGGAGTGGATTACTGTGATTTCTCTGTACAATCAAAACACAAAATTATAGAGTAAGTGCTATTTATGTTCCCTATAGCAATGAAACAATTGACAGCAAAAGCTCCATTGGCCTAAAGTTTAACAGCACAAAGTTTCACTAAATTCCAGAGTTTTATTTTTTTGTCAACTATTTAATCAAATTTTAGAGTAAAAGGGGAAAGAAAAGAATCTTTTCACCATAAAAAATATTTGTAGGGAATTCCATGAAATCTGTTCTTAATCGATATTAGAGGAAAAGTAACTAGGACTTCATATATACTTTATTTTTAAAATATAAGTTATTTTCAAAAAAGAAATTATACTACTCATTAGGTATATTGTTCAAAAATCTACTAATAAAATAAATTATCAAAAAACATATATATATATATATAAGTTTCATACAGTTGTAATTAATGTGATAGTACTAACCGGAACCCTTTTCGCCAGAAATTAATGACTATAACTCAAAATCTATAAGTTAAACAATGTCATCTAGAATTAGTCCCTTTTTTCTTCTTAGCATTGCCATCTTCTGTGTTGGCCTCATTTTCAAAGATAAACAGCAGAAGCTCCAAGTTTTCATTGGAACTAGTAATCACGGCACAAAGAACACATTTATTTCCCAATAACTACAACAAAACTGAATGACTCCCTCCCTTATTTCTGTCCAAGCCTGTCCTTGAAGCAATCACTACTGCCCAGGTCTTGGAGAATTCTCATTGGCCTTTCCCAGATCACATGTTCATCTATGGGGGGGTCACATGTTCACATCTGGAGCAGGGCCAACCTCATCTGAACTACATAAATAGAGAAGAAAACAGGGGAACTCCCCAAAGAGATGCTAAACCCACAAGAGTCACATATTTCCTACATAAAACATTTTGTGTTCTCCTATTCATTTAAAATTATTTCATCATGATTTTTCCAAGTACCTACAAAGCCCAGCTTCATTTGAGAATTATATTATGTTTCTGGGACACAGTTTATTTAACTAGACCTCAGTTAATTTGGGTGGGAGGTGTAACTTTGGAATGAAGCTTATCTTTGTCATTTAAGAGAAATAGTCAAATAATATGAAAATAAACTCACTTAGCAAATAACCAAATTCCCAGTACACTAACCTGGCCTTTTCATATGCACATATAGTCTTAATTTATTCACTTAGCAAGATTTTTTAGGACAGTCACTCTTCTTGGTACTTGGGATACAACCATGGACAAAACAAAGATCTCTGCCCTTATATAGCTTACATTGTAATAGAGGAGGAGAAAACTAAACAATTTTAAACAGATGAGCAAATTATGATGAATGGTAAAAATTTTTAAGTTCTTAAGAAACAAAGGAAAAGTAGGGCATGATAAGGGGACTGTATAGGGTCAAAGACTTTGCAAGGATGGAACTTGCATCATTAAATAGACACTGCACTCCAGCCTGAGTGACAGAGTGAGACTCCAACTCAAAAAAAAATTAAAATTAAATAAATAAGTAGCATACTGAGGGAAATCTTTACTGAGTGAAATTTGAGCAGGGAGATTTGAGCAGCTTCCAATAACTGCCAAAACAAATGTTCTAAGAAGACTCTAAGCACATGTCTGGAGTGTTCAAGAAACAGTAAGGAGGCCAAGGTGACTGGAACAGTTGAGGAGGAAGAGTATTAAGAGAGGAGGTCAGATGGTGGCTGGTTCCTGCAGTGTTGTTAGCAAATATAAGAACATTAGCTTTTACTTTGAGTAAGATAGGGAGCTGCTATAGGACTTTGACCAAGTTAAAAAAAATTTATATTCATATATTTATTGAGTTATCCTTTAAATGGATCACACTGACTGCTGTGTTGAATATAATATAAAGAGCAAGGGCATAGCAGGAAGACCAGTTAGAACGGTACTGCAGGACTCCAGGCTAGCCATTGAGGACGCCTTGAACACGAGTGGTCCAAGTGGTATTAGCAGTCATATGGAGAAGGCGTCGTTTTTGGTTATGTTTGAGAGAAAGGTAAACATCAAGAATAATTCCAAGTTCAGAATAAACATGAGGCATTTTCTGAGAGCCCAGTCATCATTTTTCCTCAAATCATTGAGGAGAATGCTAAATAATGAACTTGTAGCTTATCTTCTCAGATAGAGGGTAAACACCAGATGAAAGACGAGAGAAGAAATAATTCGAGATTCTTAGTTATAACATGACAGTTTTAACTAATCAAATATTACCTTAAAATCCACAACAAATGGGAATTGTATTGAGAAACGGTATGATTGCAGATTCAACAAGAGTAGTGAAAATAGGCAAAAAATGAAGCTACAGATTGGATTAACTGAATTTCCACCACTTGAATTGATTTTTCTTTTTTTGGTAGTAAATTCCAAAATTTAGCCATTTGCAAGGTCTCTGGAATATTCCTAGAGAATATCAAGTGGTTAACATTAATCCACTTAAAAATAAATTTTTAACAACAGGAGATGAAATAGCATCTTCAGTTAGCAGAAGTATTTGGGTTAATTTAACTTTCTTTGTGATTAATTATTTTATGTCTTGCCTAGTACAAAAACATCATTTAGTTGTTGAATGAATTAGTTATAACTTATTATACTGAAAAAATAAAGAAACTGGGACAAAAATAATGATGTTGGCATTAAGCTACCCTATTTGCTACAAATTCAATCACATGAATCCAAGTCATTTCTTGCCAGCTGGGTAATCTCTCATCTGATGACTTGTCTTTGCTGATCCACAATATCTTTTCTAATTAAAAAACAAAAACAAAAGCTAATAATACCACATGCCATTGAAGTGGAAATTATAGAGTTAACATATGGAATGCCCTACTATTATAATGCCTCATTTAAAAAATGCAAAATAGATTTTAGCTAGCTATGATTTACATAAAGTCCAAAACAGTTAGTGGGAATAGATTTCTGTTTCAGGTCTGAGTTTCTACAAACCAAAGCCAGAAGAGAATATAATCAGTTACAAGATTCAAGATGCTACTGAAGTCTGAAATAATTTTTTCCTGCAGATCCTCATAAAATACGACATGACAGACAACACTCCCACAACAAACACAAGAAGTTTCATAAAGCACTACATCTATCAATGAGACATAATACTGTCCTAAAGAGGTATATTTACAGCACAAATGCTCATTGTAGGAGATGACTCTATGGTCTTTTTATTGTTTTTCTTCTTCTTCTTGTTGGCATCCCTGATAATATTTTGCTTTTTGCTGGTTCACAGTCACCATGTTGTCAGTTTAAGTACTTGCCCTTTTATGTATAGCTAATATATAGCCAGTTATTCTCATCTTTTGTGGCTTTTTATCCTTCCTCAATAGGGCAAACTTGCATTTGACCCTGTCTTTCATTCTGTTGTTAGGCATATAATTTCCTGCTTGCTAACATTCAATTTTGCATTTAGGTTAGTCTTCAGGGTGCTAGCCACACACCTTGTCTTCTAACATTCTTCAAGTCTCAGAATAATGTCTCCTCCAGACCTTATAGCTAAATATGTTTACATTTCCCCTCAAATCATTGCTGAGGATGCTAAATAATGATCTTGTGTCTTGTCTTCTCAGATGGCAGGTAAACACTGTTACACTGCTTCACACACAAAGAAGTTCATTACTTTTCCATATGTGAACTTGTCAAAATGGAAGCTTATCCAGTGTACCAAGAGGCACCCAATTCTGGTTTCTGCTTTATTTTTTAATTACAAAGTTCCTTTCACTGATATATGAGGCTATACAAATGGACTCTGGACTGGATAGCTCATAATTAGCATAACCATTCAAATCAAGGAGCTATGGTATCACTGGGAGGGAAAAGGAACATCATCAAAGTGATTGGACTGCAAGACCACTCAGAATTTCCAAAGACGTGACATCCTTTGGCAAATGACACCGAACACATAGGAGAAAAGAGAAAAAATAGTCAAAAGCAGTAGGACCAGAATCTTAAAGATAAGATTAAAGGCAAATGTCCTCAGATACTGTGAAAGATGTCTGAAACCAGCAGCGTGAACTCTAAAGGGGCAATTGAAAAGCCATAGACCCTGCTTTGTACCTGTAAATTCTGGAGGGCCATCGTCCTTTCTACTGTCTTACCTTCTCTTTGATTCCTTGCTTCTGTGCTCATAAAGCCATATTTTGTAGGCCCAGAGTATTCCTGGTTTATGGGAAAGTGTGTGGGGCACGGGGTGGCAGGAAGAGGAAGTGCTTCATTACCTAATGAGCCATATGTGTATTATTATTGACATATGCAAATTCATATTTTAAGGGTCTAAGACATTTTTTGAAAACCTGCTCCTTCCTTTTACTTTCTTTCCCAGTGTTCCACAGATAATTTTCAGCCATTATTCAATCAGCAAAAAAATCAGTGCTAACACCAACACTTGAGTGTTCCATTACAATGGCCATTTTGACCCAGAGGATTTCACATGCATCTGAGGCTCAATACATAGGCCCCTGATAGTCACACTCTGTGTTCCAGGCAATTGCATCCTTCCTCCTGTCCCTTGGTTTGCTGATAGTGTTCATTAAGTGTGACCTAGACCCCAAACCAGGGTCATCAAGCCCATGTGAAAAATTGTTTGGTCTGACACACTGCGCCTGGGCCCCAGTCCGGCACTGGCTCTCATTACCACCTCCTAGACTCAGCCTCCAGGGATACTGCTTCTAGGAATAATCCTAGGCACTTTGACCACCTTCAGTTTGCATCCATCTCTCCTGTTTCTACCTACGGAAAATATCAAGTCGATTGGCATTTTAAGATGGCTAACAGTCCCAGTAAGCTAAAATATTTTTCCTCTCTTTGCTTCCTTATCTGGGGATGTTCGTGTCTTGCTAATTATAAGCAGCAAATCCAAGGAATGATGTTCTCTTTCTGAATATTAAAAGCTATACGTTCAAGACCAGCCTGGACAACTTAGCAAGGCCTCATCTCTACAATAAATAAAAAATTAGCCATGTGTGGTAGTGCGCACCTGTAGTTCCGGCTACTTAAAAGGCTGTGGGAGAAGGATCACCAGAGCCCAGCAGGTCGATGCTGGGGTTGCCGTGAGTGTGCCACTACACTCCAACCTGGGCAACAGAGTGAGATTCTAACTCAAAAACTAAAATAAAATTTAAAAAACTGTATTACCTTACATTGTCATGGTCATAATACATATCTTAAGAAGACATACAGAAATCACAGCATTAAGATCTCCTAAAGTACTAAAAAGACTTTAGTATTCTCCCAAGGTATTAAACTATATAGAGTTGCACAGCCAACAAATATTTATTAATTACCTGCTATGGCCAGGATCTATGTTGAGTGCTGGGAATATAACATTGACTATGATACAGTATCAATCTTCTAGAAGCCTATAAACTAAGATATATACTATGAGTATGTAGACTGAAAGAATATGCTTAAAGATTAGTCTCTGCTTTTCTCTGTGCTTCAATTTTTCCATCTGAAAAACTAAGGATTACATTAGAACCATGAATTTCAAACTTTTAAAGAATAAAACTTTCAACTGAACACCCTGATTTGTTTTTTTTTAAATTTACCATTACATCTCATACTCTAACTTCCCATTAAATTTCATATACTTTCTTTTTAAAAATAGATGAGATGCCCTGTTTTATACATAAAGATGTGCTTAAAATAAAAAATAGAACTTTCGTCTCATTGCACATGCCCAATAAACCATGCTTAGAACCGTAACAAATGAAACACATAAAGCAATTGACCTGTAAACTTGCACTTGCAATCTAAAAGGATTTCAATATATAAACCCTATTTCAAAGAAGAGAGAATGAATGAATTTTACTACAAAACTTTTAACTTGAGTCTCTCAGTACCATTTATTTTAATTTAAGTTGAATCTTCCTGGCACTTAGGGAGTAAAATTTCAAAAAGAAAATTGTTAAATGAATGAATAAAAAAATGAAGATACATATTTTCACAGTAATCTTAAGATCTTCTGTACATGTATTTGGATTCCTTAATATTGTGTTTTCAGAAATATCTTCCAAGAGGAATTGACCCTTACAAATGCAAATAGATATTCCACAAATTATATATTGATTTTTTTTCTCTTAAAACACAGATTAGATGATAAAAGCCAGGTGGTTCGCATCAACTTCAATAATGCAACAAGGGACACCATATTTGATGTACCAGTGGAACGGGTACAGCCTTTCTATGCTGCGTTGAAGGAGTTCGTTGACCTCATGAACAGCAAAGAATCCAAGTTTACCTTCAAGATGAATCCAGGTCAGTGAACACATTTTCTCAGACCACTGAAAGCATAGATTTTCTTTCATCTTAACCATTTAGAATGATATCCAGAGGAGTTTTTCTGAAGTATGGGACGTGGGGCACAAACAACAGAATCTTGGCAAGTAGCTGACTTGCTTAAATAGCAGACTTCTGGTCCCCACCTCTGTTCTGTTGATTCTCCAAACCTAGAAATACTCATTTTTACAAACTCTTAGACAATCTTTATGTACTTCCAACCTAAAAAGTAAGTACTTGAAAGACAATCTATAGACCAAATGAAATCTCATGTCTGATATTAAGGTTGATGTTTACGTTTTTTATCCTGATGGCCTATCAATACAAATCGAGGCTTATACTTAATACTTCTATGCTGGTAAGCAAATAAAATCATGCCCATGATTTTCACTCTGAAGCACATGAGTAATATTTATTCATTAGACTTACTAGCAGAGATAGCACCTGGAATAAAGTAGTTCTTAAAGTATTCCAGTTACTTGAAACAAAGAGGCTGAAAGCATAGTTATTCTGGGCCATCTCTCCTCAGTAGAGTGCCATCAATCTTAAGACTTTTGATATCTAAAGTAAAAGGTATAATTTCTCTCTGCTGATGGCTTGGCCAAATGGAAAATTATTTTTACTTGTAATTATGTTTTACTTATCTTTGGCATAATAAGGTTATATAGGAACCTCCATAAATCCCTTGCTGTGCAGTCATAGTGAGTTGATTTTAAAAGGTATTGGAATCCAAGTTCAAACATTTTTTTTTAACCTTATTTGCTTTAAAGGTGCAACAGTGGTTTTTAGTTACATGGATGAACTGCATAGTGGTGAATTCTGGGCTTTTAGTGTACCCATGACCCAGCTAGCACTCATTGTACCCAAGTGGTAATTTTTCATCCCTCACCCCTTTCCCATCCTCCTTTCTGAGTCTCCAGTGACCATTATACCACTCTGTATGCTTTTGCAAACCCATAGATTCGCTCCACTTATAAATGAGAACATGCAGTATTTGGTTTTCCATTCCTGAGTTGCTTCACTTAGGATAATGGCTTCCAATTCCATGCAAGTTGCTGCAAAAGATGTTATTTTGTTCTTTTTTTATAGCTGGCTGAATAGTATTCCATGTTGTGTGTGTGTGTGTGTGTGTGTGTGTCACCATCTTTATTCTTTCATCATTTGATGGGCACTTAGGCTGATTCCACCTCCTTGTAATTGTGAAATGTGCTGCAATAAACATATGAGTACAGGTATCTTCTTTGTATAATAACTTCTTTTCCTTTCGAGCTGCAAGCATTTAATGGCAGTGTACCTCTGGGCAAATCTCTCAACTTCTCAAAAGCTTGTTTTTCTCACGTATGAGAAGATGAGGTCAGGTGCAGTGGCTCATGCTTGTACTCCCAGCACTCTGGGAGACCAAGGCAGGAGAATTGTTTGAACCCAGGAGTTTAAGACCAGCCTGGGCAACATGGCAAGACTTTATCTCTACAAAAACATAACAAAAAATAAGTCAGATGTAGTGGTGCATGCTAGTTCCAGCTACTCAGGAGGCTGAGGTGGGAGGATTGCCTGAAACTGTGATGAGCCATGACTGCACTCCACCCAGGGCAACTGGACTGTGGCGTGAGATCCTGACTTTAAAAAAAAAGGAAAAGAAAAGAAAAGAGGAAATACTTTCTTTTCAGAATTCTTATGAGATTCAGAAATAACGTAGGCAAGGTTCAATGGCTCATGCCTGTAATCCCAGCTCTTTGAGAGGCCAAGGGAAAAGGGATGCTTGAGGACAAGAGTTCAATACCAGCCTGGGCAACATAGTGAGACACTGTCTCTACAAAAAAAGAAAAAATTAAGAAGATTAAAATTTAAAAAATAATGTACATAAAATGCTAAAAACATAGACGACAAATCAATAATATTACTTTTTTTATTATTTGAAGCTGCTAAACTGGGAAGAAACATTTCTAATTAAGAGGAAAGTATCAATCAGTAAAAACAATCCTAAAGTTATACACAGAGATAATATTTTAAGTAAGAATGATTACAGTGTCTACTGGAGCCTACCAGGCTATGCTGTTTAAATGTCATCAAGCCTAAACAGTTTGCATCCAGCGGCCTGATTTGTGTGGAAAAGTAAATGTGCAATTTTATGTAAAGAAATTAACAATGATTCCTGATGTGAACCAAGTAGCAGTGGTATTTCGCATGTTACATTTTCTAGAGCTGCAAGTCATTAAACACATGATCATTCATATTGGAAAAAAATCTTTTGTTTAGGTGACGTGATTACTTTTGACAACTGGCGCTTACTTCACGGCCGGCGTAGCTATGAAGCAGGAACTGAGATATCCCGCCATCTAGAAGGAGCTTATGCTGATTGGGATGTGGTCATGTCAAGACTTCGTATCCTAAGGCAGAATGTTGAGAATGGAAACTGAATTTCCTGTCTATAATTTTAGTAGATTCCAGTGAGTGTATTTTGTAAGACATGGCAAATATGAGACCCTGATCTATACCATTTACATATAATTCCTTTAACATTGAACATGTAACCTCTCTCACAAGAGTACTCTTTTCTTTATAATCAAATACAATGTCAACTTCTTAGATGTCTTAGCAGTGTACACTCTTTTCCAAATAACGGATCCCTTCTATTCTGTTGCCTGGATGCTCTAATTTCTTTTGCCCATATGAGTATCTCCAGATTGCCTATAAGTAGTGTTTGTATCAAATAAAACCTTTCTTTAAACAAGACTTTTGTTTCAAGTAAAGCTTAGGTTTCAAATAAAACTTGTTTCAAATAAAATATGCCTCTACTCTGCTGGCCATGGAGTCTCATTTTTCATGACTGCATGTGACAGTCTTTAACATGCTCGGGAAAGGCTTGTATTTTCAAATATCTGACTTTTGCACTTTTATTGTAGAATTCTATTCCCCAAATTTCCAGGCCTCATCAAATTGGTGATCCCAGCATTTCCTTTTAATATCGAAATTATGACACCAAACCCAAGCATGCCAAATAAGAGAAAATCTAGTATCCCTAATTTCTCTTGCCCCAAATAAATACTCCCAAGAGCTTTAAGCTTTGCTCACACCTGTCCAGAATCAGTTCTTCTCATTCCTTGCCTTTAACTAGGAGCTGAGAAAGGAAAAACCAAGACACATGCACCACTCATGAATGAACACGGTGTCTGCGAATCTCTGGACAGCCTCACCTGTTGGTCTTGGCTCTCTCCATAGCCACTACCTTGGCCTAGTGGCAGAACTCAAGTGTCACTGTCATTCATCGAAGCTCAATTCCTGACAAAAAGGTGGAGGCAGGGAAGGAGCGGGGTGGGGTGGGGGATCTCAGCATCGGCATTTGCTGAAATCCTGGTAGTACATAGATTATTTTAGTCTGTAGATTTTGGGACCTAACTAAGTTTCCTCTACAAAAAGTCTCTATCACTGCCCCCACTGCAGAGTTCTACCTGTTGTCTCAAAACAAAGTGGAAACACTACTTCCCTTCATGTTTTAACTTTTGTTCCACATCTACTTCAGTTTCCACAAAGTGTGTCCATAGCACTGGATGTCTGCATCAAGAGCACTTTTAGCCATGTAGGCACACCCCTCTGACATGCTGAACTCTGGTATAGAGTCCACATCACCAGCCAAGACTCCTCTTACAACACTGGCCCTTTCTGGGGTCTTCATTGTCCCTTCCTTAACATCTAGTCTTGATTTCAGCCACTGTAGACTATCACACATGTTTGTTTCTTTTGAACTGCAAAGGGAATGGTTGGGTTCTCAATCCCATCTCTCCTAAAATATGCAATAGCAGCACGGCCTGCTTCTAAAAGGCAGCATTCAGTACCTAAAAACAATTTGTCAGAGTGATCCTAGATCCATTCATTCATAGCATCTAAACCTAAGGCATATTCCCAGCAAAATTGACTTCTTATGCTTCTATTAATCTGGCAGATATTTATCACATATCTGACATATGTCTGCTAACCAAGGATACAGAAGAAACTGAACTGCATCTTCTTATTGTCTGGTAGGGGAGCAAATGTGGAAATAGATGATGATGTGCCATGTTAACAGAATGATTTACAGGAAGGCAACCAAGCCAGACTGGAGAGGCTAAGAAAAGCTTCAGTCTGAGTTGAGTTATGAGGGTTCATCGGAGCGTTCCAGGCAAAGATGGAGAAATGACTTCAAGTTAAACAGCAAAAGAGGGACAGAGAATCAAGAGTGAAAACAAGACGTGTTGACGTACAAGTGAAAGAAGTAGATCATGACAGTGATGTAAATTCGGAAGTTGGATGTTAGGTTCAAACTTTAATAATGGCAATCAATTAACCACTGTCATTGGACAAGTAATAGAAAAAAAGTAGAAAAAGCTTTGTTTTTTCTATCTACAACGAGATTAGTAATAGTTCTTATTTCATTAGATCTTATGAGTGTTAAGTGAAAGTTCATGTAAATCAATGTTTTTCCAAATTTCTTGGATGAATAGTCACACCCATGATGCCTTTTAAAAAAAGAATACAACTTCTCAGACAATTCCCTGAAGATTATTATTCAGTGTATCTGGGATGGAAACCAGGAATTATATTTTTAGCAAGAATCCCAGGTGATATGTATCATCAATGAAGTTTGGAAAACACTGATATAAGACATTTATCTTAGATCCAGGATCAGGAAAAGTACTCAATGGATGTTAACTATTAATTAGTCATGATAAAAGAGGCTGTAAAAAAAAAAGAGGTGGGTTAAGATGGGAAGAGATATTATGAAACTAGAAACAGAGACAGGGGCCAAGTCATGAAATGTCTAAATGCACATTGCGTTAAGGAGTAGTATTTTATCTTGAAAGCAATGAGGAACCACTGAAAGGTTTTTAAGTAGTAAAGTGCCTTGATATTCGTGTCTTAAAGGACCATCTGGACCTTAGTGGAAGGAATTGTAAATGGACAAGAATAAAAGGCCATAAATCTACTTATGCGTTTACTGTAGGAAGCCAGATGAAAAATTAAGAAGGACTAAATTGAGATGCGGGAGAGGGACTAGAGAGATACTTAGGATGCTAAATCTAGAGGACTTTATCCACTGCATGTAAAGAATAAGGGAGATGTCAAGGTTGTCTCACAGGTTTCTGGCTGAAGAAATGGGTTATGTACAGGGAAAGAAGCCACAATAGCAGAATCAAGCTTCTTTAGCAAGAAAATCGATTCAGTTTTGAAGAAATTGAGCTTGAGTTTCCCCTGAGCTAATCCACTTGGCGGTTGAATATATATACACATACAGGAGAGAGATCTGCATTAGAGATCTACATTTGGACAGTATATAGATGTTGAAGCCATCATTTGCTTTCCTGGAGACACTGGTGATATGGCCACAGTCACAACTCTAATGGGTTGAGGATAAACTGAAGATATTGGCCTAGCTTATGGAAACAGTTACAGGCAGAGCATAAAGAATCAGTGGGGGCTTATATTCAAATTCAGATAAACCTCTTATCTGTTGTATTTTGTCTCTAGAAGACAGCATCTCAAGCCACCACCCCAAAGCCTGGCTATTTTCTTCTCTGCTGTAAATATTATTTTTGCCCTGGAAGGGAAAGATGAATGGCTTGGATGTGGTTATGACAATTTCTGAAGTGTTATATAGGACATGACATATTATGGGCTACAGCAGCTGGTGCTGACTAAAGATGATTAGGTTTCCTGGATATTATCATCTAAAGACTTGACTTGCCCCCAAACTCATAATAGACCTGATGTAACTTGGATTAGAATTTACCCCTATTTGCCAGTATAGACTCTTTCTCTCTGTTCCTGACTTTACTTGGAGACTATTAGCTGCTTAGCTAACTAATCAAAATAGCTCCACAGTTCACCATAATTACATGTCACAGAATTTTTTTCTTTGGTCTCTATTTCTTCTTCCAGCCAACCATTAAAAGGTGAGTAAATGAATGTTGGTAGCGATAACAGAAGCAAAAGAAGGGGAATTCTATAGAAAAGCAGTGATTCTAAGAGTAATTTCTCTTTAGGAATTGAAACTATGAAACAAATGCTATTTTAGAAACAAAAATATTCTTTTATGTTACATATCATTTTGGGGATAGATTTGAGCCAAAAGTTTCTTTCAATTAAAATGTAATTTGGTTGAACTTTCTGGCTTGGAGCATACCTCTGGGTCTCTGGATACTTTTTCCAGCTGTCTGGAATACCCTTCCCTTCTGCTTTTGCTGCCTGGAAAAACTATTCTTCCTTCAATGTTCAGTTCAAGATTGGTCAGCAAGATGATGGAATAAAAGGTCTCCCGAAAGAAACAACAATCTCTCAGCCATCCACAGGAAAAAGGGCCTCTGCAGGAGCTTTGGGAACCAAGCAGGAGGTTTGGAACCCAGTAGAGTCCAAGACCACTAAGGGCTGTTTTGAGAAAGCACATCTATGTTCAAGCGGCAGGCTCACTGACCATGGACCCAACTATGGACACAGAAACAGCCCCATCTCCCTGGGGATTTATATATATTCCTATTTGGCCATGGTCCTGCCATCAGTACCATCTGCCAAGGAACCGAGGAGTTGTCACACCCTCACACCATGCCTAGATAACAAGCCAACTGACTTAGGTACCAGCTGAGGACTCAGCCCATGACTCAGCTCAAGTACCTCCTAGCCCATGGTCTGGGATTAGTCCTGCCTGTATAGTGACCCACCAGAAACTAGGCATCAGGATTCAACCATATGTTACCTACAAGAGATTCAGTTTACCTTTAACATATAGGCTGAAAGTGAAAGGATACAAAAGATTCCATGTAAATGGTAACCAAAAGATACACAGGGATGGCTATACTTATAACAAACAGAAGGAAAAAGTTAAACTGCCTCTGTGTGCAGATGACATGACCTGACACATAGAAAACACTAAAAGCTCCACCTAAAAATTTTTAGAACTAATAAACAAATTCAGTAAAGTTGCCAGATACCATCTTAACAAAGCAAAAAAAAATCTGTTGTATTTCTATATACTAATGATGAATTATTTGAAAAATAAATTAAAAGACATTTCTATTTACAATAACATCAAAAATAACAAAATACTTGAATATAAATATAACCAAAGTGATAAGAGATCTGTACACTGAAAATTATAAGACATTAATGAAAACACTTAAAGAAGACACAATGAGAAAAAAATTTAATTCATATGGAGCAAAAAAAGATCCCTAACAATCAAAGCAATCTTGAATAAGAAAATGTTTTTTAAAAGCTGACTGTATGACACTTTCTGATTTCATGCTATATCACAAGACTATATAATAAAAACAATGTGGTAATAGCATAAAAACAGACACACAGACTAATGGAACAGAACCAAAGTCCAGGAATAACCCACACATATATGGTTTAAAAATGTTTGACAAGGGTGCCCAGGACACACAGTAGGGAAAGGATAGCCTCTTAGGCAAAAAAAAAGTCAGATATGGTAGACATATTGGAATTATTAGATTAGGAATTTTTTAACTGTGATTAATATGCTCTTGTAATAGAAAAAAGTGGACAATATACAAGAACAGATGGATAATGTTGCAGAGAGATGGAAACTCATAGAAAGGATCCTATGGATCCTCTACAAAAAAATAAAAAGGATTGCTAGAGATCAAAACCA